AATATTAATTATTACTATTACCATTATTATTGAGCGCCTGTGTACCAGACTGCTGCTGGGTTGTACTTTATTCTTACTTTTTATTTATCATTTTTTGTTGTTTTCGCGATACTTTGAATGTCACAAGCACACTCTAATATGTTTTATGTAACAGCATAATAAGAGTAATCAGATGGAACGATGAGAAGGAGAAACAACTAAACTAAACTGAGAAAATAATTTCCATAAATAATTTTAGCGGAAAGCGCGACAAATATCTTTTTTACTTCGGCTTAGCTGTTGTACCAGGAAGCCCGATCCACCGTCCGTAAGACAATGAAAATTTATGGCGGTCATTACAAAATCTATATAGGTATATGAAAAAACGATTGTGTAGTCGCCTTGTTGAGTAGTTTTTTGGGAAAATTGTATGCAATTAGCAAATATACTGGTTTAATGGACATCATTATTTTCTTCAACGATTTATTATTATTTTTGACAGTAGTAGGATATCACCTCTTTGAACTAGGTAACTCCCGCATGCCCTTTCTTACGTTTCAAATACGCACCTAGCATATTTCTTTTCAGCCCTGTCCACTTTCGTAGAGTAGGATTCTATACTAGAGTTCTAAATAGAGTGTTATTATTCTAACGTTGTTCAAGAAATCCAGGGCGTGGCGAGCCCCGCATCTCATTATCGCTCCTCAACCCATCAGATGCCTGCATCCATTTGGTAAGACCGCCGAAGAACGAATCACGAAGCAAGAAACCTGATCCTAACAGGAAACGCCCCTCCGTAACAATAATACTAATTGGGTGTTAAATGGAAGGTACTTTAATGTTTGTTTGTATAGAATATTTTAGGAACAGCGTTCGGTGCAACATAGCAAATACGCCCACTCGAGCTGAACCGATCGGTCATCCGTAGCCACAGGTAAATGTACTCTGAAACCTCCGACTGGTTTTGAGTTTTGAAAATATAATTAAACTGAGGAGGCTACTCTTCTTCGTTTTGTCTTTGTTATGGTTGTAACAACCATTTTATAATTATTGTATATCTGCTAAGATCTACACTAGAGTCACTACGCATGAACTGGCTGTTCTTGCTTCGGCTATGTTCCAAATCTTACCAGAGTAACCTGTCTCCTACGTTAGCGGGTAATACCACGTGACATCGGAAGTAAACGATCCGCGACTCGCTTTTCCGAACGGCCTGGATTATCACCTTGATACTACGCGGATGTGGTTCGTCTTGGGCTACGGGAAAAAGAAAACATAGCAGCGGCTTACGCAAATGGCAGACGATCTCTTTTGGTCATGGAGGAAGCGCTCGAAGAGAAGATAATAGTAACCGCTGCTAAGTTTTTCTTCGACAGTAACGACGCGTTGCGTTTTGAGGTGGCTCCACCGGCTTCATTTGCTCACCATCCTTATGGGCTGTATATTGAGATCAAAATTACTTACTTCTTTCAGTTAGACATCAAAAATTCGTTTTTATTAATCAGCGCGATCGCGGTTTGTTTAGGCAGTGCCCTAAACGTATACGATCAACGCAGCGTAATTCGCAGCGATTACGTTTTGCGGAAATTCGGAATCCGCTTCCACACGGTGTAGCGGTATACAGCGCAGGGGGTCTTCTCAACGGCGATATGTCACTTGCGTTCGCTTTGACGCAAATATGATTACAAAACCACGGAAAGAACTTCGTCACCGCAATAGGGAATTTCTTGGGGAGGGAGATGGGTTAGGGCTGTTGACTGATTAGATACATGAAATATTCCAAGCCTTTATTGCTTTACAAGCTTCCACATCATCTACTGAGTTCGAATATTTTCAGCCTTAAAGGAAAAAATACGGCGTTCCCGCCAACGCCGAGGACGAGGATACGCAGAAGCTCTTGTTTATACGTTTGCACTCTGATAATGGCAACAAGTATACCCTCCTGCGGAAGGTGCACGGTCTTCATGTTGTGCACAGTCGATTCGTGCCTTGACAATAGTAAATCGCAATAAGCACACACAAATGACTGTTCCTCATTATTTGTCATGTCGAACGTCGGCCACCAATGCCAACAACGCAGACGAACATGGACGGTTGTGAGCACAGAAAACAGACGACGAGCACGCGGCGAACAGATAACGTGACGTCGGAGAAAGGTAGTGTGAGTAATTATTGCGGGTTGAACAACCCGTTTCTGGAAAGCGACTCCTGACGTCAGCGAGTAAGCGCGAGTAGGTAAGTTTTAAGACGCCACGGCACGAAATCTCTGCTCTGTGCCTCTAAACTCCTCAAACACAATAATCGGGCCGAAGTTGACGGAAAGCGCCGATTGGCCCGTAACGCCGATGACTTGGCGCTTTTTTCGCCAACGTCCAATCGGCGCGCACCGTGAACTTTCGTCTACAATTTTGTATTTGACGAGTTTAGGGCCCCTGGAGTTGGACCGAGTAAATTTTGAAATACAGCCTTCGTGATTCGTCCTTCGGCGTTCTTATCAGCGAATGCCGAAATCTCATCGTTTGCGGAGCGACAATACGCCCTGCGTTTATGAAGGCGTCGGTGATGCATATACCGCGTGTCTCCCCAAATAGCGGCCAGTCTCTTCAAATCGAGCGCAAAACTCGGTTTCTTAATTAAGCTATCGCGTTCCGATTTTGTACAGCGTTGGCTCCAGGTGGTGCATTTATTTGTATAAAATTCGCAAAGAGCGAACTCAATCGAGGAAAAAGTAAAAAGAAAAGAAAATACTTAAATCCTATGAAAACGCAGCGAAGCCACCAGTCTTCAAAACATTGGGCGCCCTATGGTTTGAAGACCGGAGTTGAACATTTTTTTTTTTTTTACGTTTTCCTCAGGTAAGTTCGCTCTTTGCAAATTTTATAAGAAAAAAAAATACACCACGTGTTGCCAACGCTGTAAAATATCAGAACGCGATAGCTTAATTAAGAAACCGAGTTTTGCGGTCGATTTAAAGAGCCTGGCCTGTATTTGGGACACGGGATATTCGACCACATCATATACCGTTGTGTTGTTTTTGCTAATAAACGCCTCGCGGCAAAGCAGGTTATTTTGCGATAAAAAGTGGGTAATTTGTTTTTATCTGTGACAAGAATACGCCCATCCGCAGTGGCTGTTATTTTTTGTTATAAGTGCAATAGTGAATTTACATTCACGCCGTTTACGACGAACTGCGACTTGGTCGTTTCTGTCGCTCAAAGGCTGGTTCAGACGTTTGTGTCAGCCGCGCTTGCAGAAACCAAAGCGACAAGTACATTGGTTGGGCTTTAGTCAATAAAAGTGACCAGGTCCGAATTGCAAAACGTCTTAGTAAACTCACAGCAACAGCAATACACGATTTCTACGTTCTCTTTTGATGGGTTTCCCGTACCTCTACAAGACTGGATAGAAGCCCCGAAGGACAGGGACAAAGTGAACTAGGTAACGACACCAACCAGCCCAACTGAACATTCTGTTAGTTTTATAAGATTTTACCAATGAAACTAGTTAATGGCGTAAAGATTCTGAACCTTACTATTATTGCTCTTTTTGGGGTGATGTGCAATATATTTTTACAAGGACTCCGAATCCCGGGGCGAGGGAGACGTAATACAGCAGTTATTGTTTGAAACCGCCATCTGACGTACGGCGCACCCTGGTGTCTGCTCCGAGACGTATCATGATCTTTGATTATATTTTTAATATAGAAAACGCCACCCATTTCTGGTTTTCTTAGGATTCTTAGAGCCCTTAGATTGCGTTATTACCATAAATAAACACTCACAGAATCCATTTGAGTGCCACTTTAAAGGGACCATGAAGGCAGTTTTGAAGTTTTATTCGACGATTGAAATGGATGGCAGGCACGTCTCAGATACTGTTTACCAAGTTCTAGCCCGAACAGAAGTTTGGGTGCCGCACCAATCCAGCAAACAGGCGCGGTAATAATAGCGCCGGGAACGATGCCTGAGACCCCACCGAGGCGGCGGCAGAAAGGTGAACTGAAGTGCGCCGAAGCGTGACGACAACGGGCACCTCGTCTGGCGATTGGTTCAAACGATAGACGTGCTCTTGGTTTCGATTTCGGTGGTGAGATGTGATGAAAATGTTTTATTTGAACGTTGGATAATCTTTTGAAGTTGTAGTTGGGAATTAATAGGTTTCATACCGTGTGCAAAAACATAATCTGAAGCGATCCCTCCGTTTGTCACTGGTTGAACGCATCCCGCACTGCTACCTCGGGCGCGTAACAAGCATTGAACAACCATGGACAAAAAAAAAGAAAAAGAGGTACGAGCGCCGGGGGCGGCGGACTTTTGGTTTTGGTTTCGTGCGTCGTCTCGTGTTCGCTTTGCGAACTGGTGTCTCACCAATCATGCCGCGTTTATGTGCAGTAGTAGGTTGCGCGAAAGGTCAGCTAAAGACGTGCGGTCAGTCGGGCGACGTCAGTTTGCATAAACTGCCGGCCGATGCAGCAATGCGCAGCATTGCCGCATCGGTCGCCAATCCAGAGTTATGCGTCCTTAGCAGCATCTCCCGTTCAGTCGGCGTGAGGTCGCTGAATGGGAGCTCAAACTCGTTTGCGAGGGAGGCGTTGTCGTCCATTTCTTCCAGGTTTTCTTCACAGACCGCCGTGCACTGGAGCGAACCACGGGAACCACACTGAGTGTGCACTAAATCCTACCGATGCCGACAGTGATCCCTGACGTCACTTCTCTTTCCAGGTCGAAAAAGGGAAGAAATCTGAATGTTTGTTTCGGTTTCGCAAATTTATTTGCAGGTACAGAAATAAGAGTCACGACGTTCTAGAAATAATCTTGTGGCATGCCAGGACCCCAATGCTTCCGAAAACACCTTATTTTTTTTAAAAAAGATTAAATTGCCTTCATGGTCTCTTTAACGAAGTTTCGTCACGCACGCCTACTCTGATTCGGTGCAGCTGTGTTTTAAAATAATAACAAACAAAAAATAGGCACTCCTTTTTCCACTTAGGCCGTGTTCAGTCGATCTCGAAACAGAAGTGAATGTGGACAGCACCCGTTGCAATGGGTCTCCAGTACGCATTGTTGTTAGCAGTTGTCGCCGCGGTTGAGGCCTGGCCGCAGTACGAGAAATGGACGCCGGATTTTCACTGGACGAGAAAAATGACCATAAAAAACCCGGAAAACAACCCTACCTTCAACTACGCTGAACTTGGGTCTCTACAAGACGCATGGCAGGTATGTGATTAAGATAAGGGGGGGTGGGGGACGAAATACAGGCTGTTTCTTTAAGGTTTACATCTTCCTTTTAAAAAACACACGAAAGCTGTACTCCTGCGGTCTGTCCATGTGAGTTATACGGTCAGAGGGACATAATATAGGTCGATAATCGTCCGGGTTAATCAGTTGGTTAACTAACTCCATTACCTTTATTTTTTATTCAAGATAGAGCTATGGTTCTAATGAGACACGTGCTGAGTGTCAACGAAGACCACAAATTCAGCAACTATTAGATATAGATAGAATGGGAGCTCGTTACCATAGACCAATCGCACTAAGAGCGTTCCACGCATGCGTGACGCCGTCACGCATGCAGACCTCAGAGGGCGCTGTTGTGCGTGCAGAAAAACTACAGCTCCCTGGATGCTTGCCGGCTGCAGTGGCGTAATTAAACTTGCTGTGAGATCAGCCTCTCGTGCAAGAGGCGCCAAGCTTTAATGCTGCGAAAGTGTGCCCACCCTGAGAGTGCCCGCGCGGTTTTACAGCGAAGCTGTTTATGGCTAGGGTTCCGTGAATTTTTTGTGTGCGTGACCAAAAACTCTACGCTCTCACCGCACCCTCGCACCGCACCGCACACACGCGCCGCACGTACCAGCGTCTGCTGCAGTAACTGTTCTAAAGCAAAAGCCTAAGACAAATGGAATCTTGCACGCGCGTTCATCAACGCTTTATTTTGGATACTTACAAGGCGCCTCAAAAAGCGGCCAGGATCTTCAAATCGATCGAGAAAATCGGTTACTTAGCCAATCGCGCTACGAGTTTGTGCAGCGTTGCCTACAGGTGGTACATTTTTTTTATAAAATTTGCGAAGGGCGAATTTACCTGAGGAAATAGTAAAAAAGAAAAAAGGCTTAACTCCTATGGAAACGCAGCAAAGCCACCGGTCTTCAAACAATACGGCGCCGTTTGGCAGGGGAGACAAGAGATGGCGCAAGCGGTCGCGACGCCAGCTGCCGCCAACGAACGAGCATACGGCGCCGAGAGCCGGAGTCATTAGCAGATGATCTTTTCGACCACGAAATCAAGTAACCTTCCTTATCACCCGAGTATGTATAAAATACTTTACTGAATTTTCACTAAAAACACAACTATCAAGACTAGAAGTAATTAAGCATGATCCAACAAGCTCTAGAGACTCGTTTCATACTAGCATGTGACGGCCAAACGCAAATGTTTTTTTTTTTGTGTTAAACTTTATGGTACTACAAAAAAGTCACATCTTCTTATGCGTCAGGTGAATATGTTTAAAATTATCTGCGTAGTTTAGAGGTATTAGGTTTCTGTATATCATATAATTATGCTGGCAGGGCCACATAAATACGCTCTCACAAGTCATATAATGGAACATGCACATTTAGGACCATGTTGAAACCAATGTTAGTACTATTAGGTTTCGATTTGTTTATACATTGATTATATAGGCGTACATCGAGGGCACACATTATAGACGAACACCATTATCATGCCGTGAGTCCATTGTTACTGTTGATAGGATACGAATGCTTACATTCAAGACAGTGCCCCATTTAGTTCGCCATACCGTGCATCGTCTTGTACTATTGGGAGTTGGGTTTTTTACGCCCATCAACCAGGATGGCTTACAAGGAACAATTACGAACTAATAAATGTTGCGTAAAATAAGAAATGTTTTGTTTTCTTGAATTTCAGGTCCTAGAAGAAACATCGAATGATACGTATTTTTTGATGTTTCGCACCGAAGCTCCCATCTATGGCTATAGATGTGTCTCCCTGACAGGAAATATTACAAACAAAATGAACAAAACTGCAAATTTTACAATAACATTCTACGATACGGAAAAAATAAAATAGTAAGTGATTCACTTATCAAAGTAATAATATAATAATAATAATTTTGACGCATCAGGACTATTAAGGATGGTTATGTTTACAGGCGCATCAAAGCCAGCGATGGGCTTGTAAGATGTCACCCTAAAAAAAAAAAAACTAAAAAAAAAAAAAGTTTGTAGAAATGCTAGGTAAAACCTTCTAACCTTACAAATCACAAAGTATAAGACTAAAATTTCCCCCCTTTCGCCCCCGAATTTAATACAGAGTACTAAATAATTACGGTGACGCAAAAAATAATAGCACCTAAAAAAAAAACACAAATGCAAAAAAACACATTGCTAAGCAAAAAAAAAATATAAATCACCCACGCGCGTAAAAAATGTAGTAGTAGAAAGCACGGCAACTAAGAAAAGAAAAAAAGTACCCGAAAAAGAAGCTTCTCTAAAAAGACTGGTAGTCTCAGGTGGGAGTCTGAGTTCATTCAATATAGACGCCTCTGCAAGCAACATCAGAGGAATGGTAATAACATATATGGGGAGTCAGTGTAGTCCGACTTGAGGAAAAATAAAAAAAAAAACTCTCCGACACGTTCGTTTTCGAGGCGGAAAATTGACACATCCTGATATTGTGCTGAACGAGGAGAATGTGACCACATCCAGCGTATGCGATATATTCGCGCGCCATTTCAGTTTTGTACATAAACACAATGGGAGTGGGTACTAACAGCCGCAATCGCCTGGTGTGAACGGGTCAATTTCCTCCCTGCCTGTAGATCAGGGAATGGTTCAGGAATGCATAAGAAAACTGAGGCCTTCCATGTCCTCAGGTCACGACGGTATTCCAGCAACACCTGTAAAAGCATTTCACGAAATTTTCACACTCACCTTTTATGATAGTTTCAACTACTTCCTAAGAGCAGGAGTGTTTCCTGACATGTGGAGGAAGTCAGTCGTTGTCCCAGTCTTCAAGTCTGGAAGTAGTACCACTGCGTCAAACTACAGGCCAGTTTCTCTGCTGTGTACATTTTCGAAGCTTTTCGAATTGTTAGTCCACAAAACGTTGTCCTTTAGTTTAAAAAAAATGTATTAAGCCCCAACCAACATGGATTTGTACCAGGACGCTCGACAACAACAAATTTTATTTTATTTATGTCCATTGCATCCAAAGCTGTGTGCCACAGAGGCCAGCTTGACGTAGTCTACATTGATCTGAGTAAGGCCTTTGATGTGGTTGACCATGGCATTATTTTATCAAAACTTTGTGGTATTGGTGTCTGTGCAGGGCTACCCGACCGGTTTCAGAAATATCTGACTAATAGAACATCTGTTGCTCGTACGAACGGCGCGTATTCCTTTACGTACTTGGCCACGTCTGGGGTACCTCAGGGGTCAGATCTGGGCCCGCTTCTTTTTTTTAATGTTTGTTTACTACGTGCGTCGTTCTTTTTGTCAGCATGCGAGATATGTATAGGGTGTGTATTTTCCGGCTTTAACCGAAAAACACCGATAAACATCCGTCGGTGACGAAAATACGAAATCGCTTAAAACCGAAAAACACCGGTGGTTGGATATTTTCGCCCTGGTTAAAACCGAAAAACACCGGTCGTTTCACGTTTCCGACCTAGCGTCGAGCGAAACCCTTTCCCCGTAGAGTTTCGTCAAACGTGTTATCTCGTGGATCCTGCACTCTTCCAGTGTCTATACATGGCTTGCACGTGGCGTCAGTCCGCCCTCCTTTCTGGGGGTCAAAAGCGTCTAGCTAACGCAGTGGAAGCTAAATTCTCACACGCCTTTCCCCCATTGTGTCTCCCATGGCTCCCTTTTATGGAAAAATTAACGCAGTGGAGTGTACGCTCTCACGTGCCCTTTCCCCATTGTGTCTGGCCAAGTAATGTCGGTGCAAGCCATGTGTTCAGAGGTTGCTGTAGTTCCTGGAAGACACTGCCAACATCCGTGTCGTATGGGGCTACTGACCTTTCAGAACTGAGATGCGTTCCTTGTTATTTGTTTAGTTTCCATGGTCTTTTGGGGAAACGAAAAAAAGGTTTTGTTTGCGTGGGGTTTTTTCGCTGTATATAAAAGGTCCGTTCTGTAAAAACAATTGCAGGCGTGTTTGAGAAGGCGCGTCCGTCCCGCGTCTGCGGGTTTTCTCAACCTGAGACTTGCTTCCCTTCGTCGTCACGCGAAGTAGAAGGCCACCAGGATGGGAAGTAACTGGAAAGCTCAGGATGACTACGCTACAAATTGCATGGATGAATCGTCGTTGTGGTTGCGCGTGCCAATTGTTAATCCGTGCATAAACGTGGAGCTACCAGAGGGATTTGTGCCTTATGAAAGTATTTATCGGCTGGTCCTCCGAGACGAGAGCTAGCTGAGTGACCTAGAATCAGACTTTCTTTGTGACCGCCAGTATGCTGTGACTAGCATCGTTGATCCAGTGTTATTTTGGAAACTTCATTTACCTGACTGGTCACTACTGTCCCAAGCCTCGCTGGACATTTTGGGATTTCCTGTGTCCAGCGCAAATGTGGAGCGTGCGTTTTCAAAATTGTGGGTTGTGAACCGCAAGGAACGTGCTGCCATGACGGATGCAAGCCTCTCGAAGTATGCTTGCATCTACTATAATAACCAAGTGTGAGAAATATATGCTTCCTCGAGAAGAAGTGTATGAAATATGTGAATAAAATTGGAACTCTCTGTCTGTGATCGATCGCATTTTTTTTCCACCGATAATCACCGATTTTAGCCTCGTCGTGAGACGTTCCACCGAAATACACCGGTGTTTCGAAAATAAATAAACACCGAAAAACATCCGCCGATTTTTCTCACAAATAAACACCGGAAAGTACACACCCTAGATATGTGTCATGTATTTTACTGAATGCTCTAGCTTTTTTTTTTAAACTTTTATTGTAGTGCGTAAGTTTCGGTGTGCCAGTACTAAGACCGCATGGTCGTTCCTGGACACCTAATAAAACTTATTCTTGATTCCTGATTATCTGCACAGAATGGTTTCAAACAGGACACAAGACCTGTTTGACGAAGGCAGCAAGGGCTTGTAGGACTGATCGACTGTGACATGGGCGTCTAAGTACGCCCCAACAGCAGTCGGTTTCCCAAACCCTCCCCCAAAACGCATACTATTACTCCAGGATTGAACCAGAATAGCATTGGTGACCGGCAGTTCAAGAAAATGAAAAAAAAGGAAAGCACCACGAGCCCTGGCCCTGAGAGAACAATAAATGAAATGAAATGAAATGAAACTGCGTGAGACGCAAACATGTCGGTATAGTCACCTACTTTCCACTTGTTTTTTCTCGGCATTTCGGGCGCGTTGAGGAGAGAAGCTGAGGCAATGAAAGGCTGCGGCCATCACGTGACGTCATGGACGTTGCGGGCATAATTCAGACGCAACTAAAATATATCTTGCTCCTTCAATACTGCTCTAAAACAGTATCACGTAAAATTTATTTTTCGACACGCGTGTCCCAATTAGACTGCTTAAAAAATAGTTTGTTCCTTTTCAGTGGCCGTTTAGGTTGAGGCAGTTCAATATTAATTAAAGCACAAAAGTCGAAGAAGCTACACATTAAATTTACACTCAAACATGTAACTTTTGTCCAGTATAGCAGTAGAAACATAAAACAAACTCAAGACCCACAGCACCGGCGCTTTGTTTAGCATAAAAAATACTGATGAAATAGCATTAAAAATGTTGCTGACCTCAAGAACAATTATAAAATTAAAAAAAGAAAAACTCTTTTTTTTTATTTAAAACGCTTAGAAATACCGGACGTTGTTATGCTTCTTCTTTCTTAATGGTCACTAAAACGGCTGACTTCGTGCACAATCAGTTTTGCCAGCGATGAAAATTGTTTTCTCCCAGTGCATTTACGTTAGAATGCTCAACGAAATCACAATTAATGAAGGTCAGACGGCGAGTCAAACATTGCAAACCTATTTAAGCAGAAATATATCTGTGTTCGGTCATCTATATATCATCAAATTTATACAGCCAACTAGTTAATACGTGATGTAAGAGAGACATTTTTAAATGCGGTAGCATTTGTTCCCGTCATCCATTAAAATTCCTGGGGACACGTTGAAAGTCTGCTGCATGCGCGGAAATGTGCCGCTCCCCTCTACTTATCGCACGCATGCGCGGATTGCGCGGAAGTCATCCGCCAATCTTCTTCTGTTCTTATGGCGCGCATGCAAGGGTTGAGGGTGGTGGCGTCCACTGGATGTGTGGCAGTCTTTACAATGTTTCCGAAGAGAAAAGAGCAGTACGCATGAGGAGGAAATAGCTAGGCAAGAGCGGCGACGTGCTGAGTAAATGGCAGCGCGCGACGTGCCAAAGAGGCACAGGGGGAGAAAGAGCGACGCACGGCTAGGGAACGAAGCAAGGTGTCCTCGTTCTGCTAAGAAAAAGAAAAAGCAATATTCGTGCGAAAAAAACAAGAGAACGGCTTGCTTGCACCTTTGTATTTAATTGCATTATAACAATAACCTTATAATGCAACCCTTTCACCTATGTTGGTGGTAGACTGGTGGTAGCTGATAAAACCTGTTTGCTCTACTGACGTCTGACCCCTGCAGGTCAGCTCCGTTGGTAGAGCGCTCCATTGGAAATGGAGAGGTCCCGGGTTCGATACCCGGATCAGGCGGATTTTTTTCGGTCACGCACCAGTCACTTGGCTGCGTTTGGAGATTTGTATTTGTCTTTTGTCCCCCTTGTTCCCTTTCTCCAGGGTTTATTTTTGTCAAAAAATCACACTTATTTAATCGGCTGAATGCATACTAAAGCTCCCATAAAAACAAAATGTTAATGAATTGATTTCATTTCAGCAAGAGTGTCACGATTCAAGTGAGAGCTCTCAAGCAACCGGACTACCTCCTTGAAAACGTTGTACGGGCAAATTTGAAAGGTATGTAACTTCATTTATTTTCTAAATCATTAAAATTAAGGTTGGGTCACACAGTCTCCTTTTCTTACGTTATGTTATGCTACAGACGTTTACGTCTGCTTACGCCATGAGTCGCTGGGGCATACGTGCTTCATAATTGTGCCTCGTGCATGACCGAAAAGAAGCCCTTCTCCGTGCATCTAGAAGTTTCGTGTTGATTCTTACCCCGAGCGTAAAAGAGAAGGAGGACAGAATGGCCTTGCCTAGTCAGTCTCGCCCAAGCTAACTTCCGAACATTCTAGGTCGGATATTTGAAATTACGAGGGTGGTAAAGACCAGAAGCCGAGCGTAGTACTGATTCACTCTCGCGATAGCTAGCTTCCAATCCTAAATGATCTATCGGGACGCCTTGCGCGGTGGAGTCAACGACTGCAAGAATTCGACATGGCTGTGCTCAACAAGTCTGGCCGTAAGCACAGTTACTCTGATTGTGTTTTGAGGGCCCCCGTCGAGTTGACATTCGAGCACAGTAACGACGACGACGAGGACAAAGTTTTTCCAGGCGCAGTAAACGCCGATAGCATTTCAGAACTTCAACGGGATGATCCTGAGCTGCGCGCAGTCATCCAGCATTTGGAAGGTCGCTATACTACGGTGCCCCGAGTCTTTTTGTGAGCTCGTCTTTCGCCATCCGACGGAATGTACTTTACAAAGAGAACTTCGGCGACAGCAAGAAGGCATGGTTTTTGGTGGTCCCTAGAGGCCTTCGGGAAAAGATCTTTCAAGCCTGACACGATGAGCCAACGGTATACACCTTGGTTACACCCGGACACTCGCCAGGATCCGAGAGGGGTACAACTGGCCTAAGCTGCCGAAGTCCGTTCACCTTTATACCCAATCATTCTACGTGTGTCAACGACGGAAGAAACCACCGAAAACGTCAGCAGGACTCCTGCAGCCAATCGCTCCCCCGCCTACGCCATTCCAGCAAATGGGAGTGAATTTGCTTGGTCCCTTTCCGCGATCAACTCTGGGGAACCGCTGGATAATCCTTGCCATCGATTATCTGACGCGGTACGCCGAGACCAAGGCTCCTCCGTCGGTAGCTGCGGTTGAAGTCGCTATGTTTCTCATGCAGCGCATCGTCCTCAGGCACGGCACTCTAGAGGTGCTAATTACAGATCGCTGGCCGTTGTTTATGGCGCAACTGACGCAAGAAATTCTTCATCTCGTTCACGCCAGCCATCGTCGCACTACGGCGTACCACCCGCAGACTAGCGGGTGACGGAGCGACTTAGCAAAAGAATCGTCGTCAAGATCTTCATGTATAAATAAAGATCATGTCGGTTTTGCGTCTACGTATACGTCGACGTAGAGCACAAGACGTGCGACGAGGTGTTTCCCTACGTCGCGTTCGCCTATAACACTGCGGTTCAAGAGACTACTGGATTTACACCTTTCCAGCTGGTACATGGTTGGAGGGTAGGGAGAGGACGATGCTCGACGCGATGCTGCCCTACGAGCCAGCTGACAATAGGAGCAACGACGCCCAGCTGGTTGCGCAACGGGCCAAAGAAGTCCGCCAGCTTGCCTGACTCCGCATTCAAGACCAGCAACGTGCAACGCTGGCGGTTACAACCTTCGTCGTCATGACGTTCATTTCTTGCCCGGGGACCACGTGTGGGTGTGGACACTCATTTGTCACCGCAGCCTCAGCGAGGAACTGTTTAAACGGTGCTTTGGACCATAAAAAATACTACGTCGCCTCTGGAAGCTCAACTATAAATTGGTGCCCGACTGAATGCAAGCATTACCACGATGCCGACCACGATCCGATGTGCTCTACGTCCACGTCGTTCGACTCAAGCCCTTTTACACTCGATAGGACTAAGGACTATGTATATATGACTATACACTCGATAGGACTATATATGGTTCAGACGACCCCGCAGTTTACTGATTGCTGCTTTAGCCTTGTGTCAATTTACTTAGGGCTGCATTGGTGCGATGCACTTTTAAATAAGGGAGTAATGCCGCGTGCATGACCGAGGAGATACGCTTCTTCATGCATCTAGAAGTTTCGTGTTTATTCTTACCTCTAGTGTAGAAGGTAAGAATGACAGAATGACTTTGCCTAGTCAGTCTCACCCTAGCAAAATTTTGAACATTCTAGGTTAAATATTTCCGATTATGAATGTGGTAGATGAGGATCCAAGCGCGGTATTACCGATTCATGCACCTATAGGAGGTATTCACTGGACGCCGTATTTGAGGGCGATGTTTAGAGCGTATGCCCAGAACGAGCTCACATTAGTAGCCTGCTAAGACTGGCATCCTTGATGGTGCTAAATGCACGCTCCCAAAGGACTGCGGAAGCTCGCCGTCAGCACGCGCTCAGCAGCCGCGCAGACAGATATGGCCGCCAGTGAATACTTCTTATTCACTTTCGGCATAGCCAGCTGTCACGCCGACGCACCGTCGTCCGCTGCTAATTTTTTCGCGTTTGTTCTTCCCTCTGTTTCTGGCACAATTATGCCTTTTAAACCTTCATTTTTAGTTAATCATTCACCGTCTCGTCGCCTTAATCCGTGACGATATTAAGCGTGTAAGCCAATTCAACAAAATAGTTTCACACGGCTACATTCGGGAAACCAATGTTTCGGTCGCTCAGACGTAACGTAAAAAAAATTAAAAAAAAAAAACCTGTGCTGTGTGAACCGGCCTTAAGAAGAATTTCTGTAGCGACAGCTGTTATACTCTGCGCTCCATTAAGCTGAGACTCCAGCCAAAGCTACAAGTGCGAGCTAGCCCGCACTCCCGACTTCGAAGGGTGCATTTCTAGCGCGAGTACTCGCTTTGTGGAGGAACGCTTTAAGGCAGCAACCTCGAGCTGTCGTGCCTGTAACATTGGCTGCAGCCTCAGTGTATAGTTCATTCACACTCAAGTTGAGACTGCAGCCAATCAACACTAAGAAATATTTTCTATTTTTATTTGAGATATAAAACGTGGATATCCTTTCACGAGACGAGAATATTTTACGTTTTAAATGTGGCGTTTTACCTAAATAAATCTGCGGAAGTTACTGGATATTTGTATGCTATATTCTTACAATTTAACCAAGGTGAAGCACCATGTTGAGTAACTATTGGATCAAAAATAAAATGTATATATATTTCAATTACTAACAATATTCAACAGAATAAACCAATATGAGTAAATATTGAGAGCGGATTGCTTTGACTGACCATTACTAAATATATTGCCCCACTACGGTGCACACATTTATTCCTTGTCGGATTGTGTAGGCTACATTGAACTAAATTAGCTACGAGTTTGCAATATTTGGGCATTAGAAATTTCTGGTAGAGCTAACCGACTACCCATTAACCAGAGCTGGCAGTAATGCAATTACTGTAATGAAATTACAGTAATTTAATTACTTGTTCCAGTAATTAGTAATGTAATTCATTACTTTTTGTAGCAGGTAATTTAGTAATGTAATGAATTACTCCAGCGACGGTAATTGTAATTAAATTACTTAATTACTTTTTCGCACCAGGCATATTTTTTGTGTCCACAATACACAAGAGCGCTTTTCTTTTTATTTTACTTTTTCTTTTTCCTCTGCACCTTTCCAAAAAACGCTCTTTGGCCGCCGCTATGTTGCTGATGCTGGGGGATCGGTGGCCGAGTGGGCTAAAGCGCACACCCAGCTCGATGCACGTGGAGCGAAAGCTCGCGCTGCAGAACCCAGGAATCCTGGGTTAGAACCCCACCCCTGCCCGTTTCGATCTGGATGAGCATCGTACCGGCGTGCGGTCGTGTATCACTACTGCATGGTGCAAGTTAAAGACCCCAGGCTAGCGGTTGTACCGCACTGGCTAAATTGCTCATCTACAGTGGGTAACAATGTCGCCATGTTCTGGCAGACTAAACTCCTGCTGTATAAACAACTAACGACTGATTTGTTTTTTGCTGATGCTAATGGGGGGGGGGGGGGGGGGGGGGGGCTGGTGCGACTCTCGCGCCCGCTATCAGCTAGACATTTTCTGCCACTCTCTTGAACTGTGAAAACCCGCTCAGCGCGATTCTCTACCTATGTTTTACGGTTTTGCATTCGACATTTTCTGGCCCCTCTTGAAAGTTTCCGCTTACTTTTTCTGATGCATACTGCGTACCCTCTCTGTGTTATCTTCCACTGTGAGAAATAGGGCTGGTAAGTGCCTTCCATTCGAGCTTTTCTGCTCGACATTCTCGGGAAACGAAGGAGGAGAGGTAGGTCGAACTAAGGCCCCTGGTGGAACGGCCCTCGACGCGATTTTGCGAACAATGACAATTGTTCTCGCCCCTCCCAGAGATAACCCGCGTAGGGTCCTCAGTCATCTCCAAAAATAGTTGTCCGGGTTGGGGTGGGAAACGGATCAGTCGCGTGCGTTCCTCTGTCCATCGGTTAACATGCAACAGAGTTCTAACTGTGTGCCATGAACTGTGTAAATAATGTAAATAAAGTTATCTGTAAAAGGAAGTTACCAATAGCTCCTTTATATTTAAAAGTATACAAAAGTAATGCGAAAGTAATGTCATTACTTTTAAAAGTAATTTGTAATGGTAATTAATTACTTTCTGGCTGTGGTAATTTGTAATGTAATTTAATTACATTTCAGCAATTTTCAGCAAAGTAATTAGTAATGTAATTTAATTACAAAATATCAGTAATTTGGCCAGCTCTGCCATTAATCCCCGTGCAAGACATGGTCTACTGGGACTGCCTGGTCAACTCTAAGAAACTGAGGCTTCGGTTACCATGAGAGAAGGAGACACCTTCACCTGCGTGATATTTCAAAAAATAAATTCACAATGTAATAAATAATAAAAATCTATACTTTTACAAGCTTAGAAAACACATGTGGCATCACAGTGAGAAACTTAACCGATCATGGACTTCTACGCGACAAAAGAGTGCTCGCAATATTAGGTCGGCACAAACGTGGGGCAGATAACGATATTGAATGCGAGTTTGAATCGGGTACCTAGTATAGTACACAGTTTTCAATTAAAGTGGCCAGATATACACCTAGTTGCACCTGTTATTTTTAGCCTTTATTGGTGCCGCCATCAACCAATATTTCTTTCCTGTCAGGTCAGTATTTATGTGCTGCTTGGAAATATTTCTTTTGCCTAACCGCATAAGATATTTTAAAAGTGCGATAAACAGTGTGTGTATTTCAAAACCAGGAAAACTCCCAGACGCTACTCCAGTTCCTCCCGGAAGCTACACGTACGCTGAGAATGATAACTACATTTGCTATTCCAGAAGTACTCCCTTTCCTGATAGAGGTAAGTTTCATACCCAACGAACGTGTAGCCTGTTTTTGTTGATGGTATATACAATTTGCATTGCGAAAATGCTTTTTTTTACGCAGTGAAGGCTGTAGAGCGGCTGCTGGGTGCGGAAGACCATGATGATTTACCCAACAAAGTTCTAGACAAATTGTTTCCCGTTCCGGAAGGTCCTCAATATGTTGACATGTATGTAGTATACAACCAGCCGGAATGTTACATTCTGAGAAGTCCCGCAACCTTGGGAGGTGAGGTCATTAAATCTACAGCTAGATGGATGTCACATTATCTTGTTTTCTCTTAATTGGAATGGTAGTGGTAGAACTGCCTTTATCTTTATAACTGAAGAAGAAAATGTCAAACCAAGGTAGCCTATACACAGGAACCTGAAATAAAACAAGCTGTGAGGAGTACTAAGATGTATTTATAGGCAGCTCAGGCCGATCGGTATATTTATTTTGCGATACTTCTATTTGGCTAGTGGCACACACGCTTACTATATATATAAGAAACAGTGGACGTGCTGTGTGCTCAGCTTACAAATGCCGTGCGCTATACCTTTTGGTAATCTTAGATGCATCGAACGAAAATACGGGTACTGTTCGTAAGTCTTGCTTTCACCAAAAACGAGTGCCTCAAACATTGTCCAGCATCTTGCACGATCAGAATGCGTTTAAGTTTTATTGTGAGCGTAAAAAGTAACTCTTCAGAATTGCCTTGAATTATCTTATGCTGCTGGTATCGTGTGTGGTCTCTAATACATTATCAATTTTATTGCAACTTAATTTGAACGTAAGCGCCAGTGAGGCTCTTATATCTGCTTGGCAATTAGGAAGCCAGGAAGGCCTCCTAAAAGTACCGGCATATCATTAAGAATAAAAAATGGCCCCAGTAAATAAAAAAAAAATAATATATGCCTTGTACATCGCTTGTGCCAACAAACACATAAATGTGAAGAGGCCGAGCATCGGTAATAAAGTTCCCATGTAATTTTCGGAGAGAATACCCTCGGCCATTGTAGCTTCCCAACGGTCGAGAAACCTGCATTTAGTAAAGTTTTTTGCTGGGCTTAGCGGATGATTTATATTTTTAAACCGCCGAAGATGATCATTCACGTTTTTCGACCGCCGGCCTAGCGCCTTTTGCACGAATGGTACCTTTAGCGCATCTCCGAGCCTCCCCCCTGCATTAAAGGGGCCTGCAATCCTATCTAAGTGTCTACCTTTTTTGCGGTTTCCACATCTTTTGTGGTTCAGGCAACCCAGCGGGAACGGGGAGCGTAATTAAATATCAGTGAGTCATATTTTAACCGGACGACACGGAAGCCTTTTCCACCTATGGGGGCGGGCGCCCCGTGGTACCGAGCGCGCGCGGCATGTGACGACATCGTGACGTTGTCGGTCCTGTGACCTGTCCAGTTCCTGCCTAATGACTGGTCAGAGCCGCTAATAGCTTGTTTTTTCGTCGAAATACAAAATATCAGTGGCGCGAACCGTTTAATTTTTAATGGAATTAGTTTTTGTTCAGTATTTCAGATTAGAAAAGAAACAAATGCAGTTTATAAAGTACGGAACTAAAAAATGACCCGTCCACATACGCGCCACCAAGTGGTGGAAGAGTATGATTCTGAAGCGCGCTCGCTTCGGGATGTTGGAAGCCATGCCCGTGGATCCTAGCAGACGACGCACGACGGCGGCGGCACATTTTGCAAGAAGCGAAAGTACAAATTTGTCTTCTCGCAAGAGCACAGGAGACCCGCCCGGACTTGCCCGGAACTTGAGAGCCGTCGAGTTGGAGCTGAGAGGCTTCATTAGCGCACTCCGGACGCTTACGATGAGTGTCTGTTGAGACGCAGCGCAGGCGAAGAAGTCACGTGAGCGTTCAGAAAATTGCCTCGCTTTTCATGTTTATACAACCTTGATTCTTCTATGCCCCAACCGGTGACCGGTCGCTTAGCTAAAGATGAGAAATTTTGACAATGCATTACAGTCGCTAAGCTGAGGTTTTTAACGTGCATTGCGCAGTAGTGATCACACGAACGCGTGCCGGTACGAAACTGATCCAGATCGAAACGGGCGGGGGCGGTGGGGAATTGAACCCAGGAGGTTCCCAGCGCAAGCTTTCGCTCCACGCTCCGAGCTGAGACGCGTTAGCCCACTCGGCCACCGATTCCCCTACGTGAGCGTCCCAGACTCAACTCGTTTTTATATCCTAGTTCTCCCCGTTCCCGGGCAGCTCTCTCGTCTCGCCCTCACCTCCTTTAACCGTTCTTCCTCTCCCTCCCCACATTATTTAGTCACCCGAGTCAACGCGGTCTGCGGGCAAGGGGAATCCTCCAGCGCGGGAAAAAAAAAAGGGGGGGGGGGGGGGGGGAGGGGGAGAGGACCGAGGACATCATGAAGGAGGTTATTCGTTGCTTGTTTTTGTAATCTTAATATGCCCATACCTTTTCAAATAAAGCGAATTTCGAGAAAAAAAAAAGGTTCACTAAGTTGCTACGTTCACTGAGCTCACGTTCGGTGCAAATTAAAAACCACTTAAAAATCATTGCAGGGCCCCTTTAAGTTGTAAAATTAAATATTTTGTGGTCTTTTGATGACGCTCAGCAAGTTTCAAATGAGATCCACACGTTTTATTTTACTAATTAAAATGCTAATTGACGACTTCCAGTTAATTATCTGAATTACCGTGACGATTAGCTCAGGATATTATGACCCACTGGTTGTATAACACATCTTCACAAGCCGCGTTAGAGTATCTTTCTAGTTTGTTTCTTTGTTTTAGATCTATCTGTTCAAATTAAAATCAAACACCCTGTACAATATTTCCAGAAAGTATAACAAGGATAGTGATAAAATGCTGTATCAAAATTTAGTAAAATGAACTCTAATTATGAAATACATTTATATAATACCTACTCTCGCCCCTTTGTTTCAAGTTACCAAATTAAAACTCATTAAAAATATTAGTTTTTTTTTAGCCATGTGGTGAAACGACTGGAGTCTGGGGTTTAAAAACATAGAAAATACACTTTGCTTATTTAATTTTATTTTGCCCTTAGTAACCATTAGTGTTACGGCATGATTACCGAAAACAAAACAGCAGCAACAAGCAAAAAAACACAGAACAAGCACTGAATGCACATATTTATTTTACATGGTTAACTTCCACCCGCTCATCTTCGCTGTCACTGATTTTAGTTTTCGTTCACAGCTACTTGTTTTCTCTCGTTTGAGTAATTTCACATTCGCCTAAAACTGCCTAGGGAATGTTCGCAATTAATTGACATCTAATCGTTTTATAGGATGCGACTTGTGGCTAAGAAAAACAGAGTTGAAAAGAATAGTGAATGACATGGAGAATCAGATTCTAAAAAAAGAATTGGAACTGAAGAAGGAAAGTGAAAGGGAATATGGAATTTATGAAAACTGTACTGCAACAGAAAGCCAAGAAGATGACGTAAACTCCGACGTAGAAGATGGCATTGAAAGATGGTTTCAAGATATTGCATGGAAACAGGTTTCCCCCAACTGCATTCTTGCTTTCATGCTGGCCTGTGAACAGCCAGTATTTAGAGTTTACAATCCGATAACTTGTAATAGCTCACTGACAGAGGAATACGTGCCATATTCCTAGATTTCACATGCATGCTTCTCAACTGCATGTCGGTTGGTGAGGGAACAGCCGTATGTATGCAAACATTATACAAACAAAACCGCCATTGTGTTTTGTTTTGCATCCTTGGAAATAAAAGGAGTAGAAAACTACCGATATCAATTAGTTCTTATAGCAAAAAGACATAAAATGTGTTTCAGTTAAGTTATGCCGAGACTTACGTAAATATGGTGCGCGCAGCGCACCAGATTTTCTTAAGTCTTGATTTCGAACCATTGCAGTATTTTTCAGTTGAGCAAGCCAAGTTACTTATTTGAATGGGCCAAACTGGCTAGTTAAAGCCAGTTGCTTTGCTGACTTTATAACTATTATTTTGCCCGCAACCTCTCCAATATGAACGTTATAGAACATGTTCAAGGACATCCGATCGTGTCCTTTTCACCAAGGTAGCCTTTTCTGTCTATGCGTAGAACAAGACGTCTCCTTCATTGCAGGGGTTGCGATGATTTCAGAACGCCGAACTCGTATTGGCTGATTGAAAACAAAATAGTGAATAGACCTCAAGGCGTCTAGCAGTGCTGTCTACCCACTATCCTTTCAATCAAAGCCAATCAGAGCTCGACGTCGTTGTGACGTCACCACAACTGCTGTGCTTGAAGCAGACGACTTGCTCCCCGCATTTTTTTTTTTTGAGTGTTAAAGAAAACGCGTAAAGAAAACGTAACGGTTGCAAGTAATCATATTACTTGCAACCGTTACTATGTTTCCCCCCTTCTTTCTAACTGCGCCCTTTGTTCCTACCAAGAAATCCTCGAAGCAAGAATCTGAAAGCAGAGTCTTGAACCGGAATTCTTATCGTTTCAGTTCGGGTTGGGGTTCACGGCTCTTGATTCAGTTCCGGTTCAGTTCCAGGGAGCAAAGATTAACCGATTCGAACCGGTTCGAACCGGTATAGAGTTACTATAGGGCATAGCGGGTAACTAGGTAAATATAGATTTCCAACGTTCGTAGAGTCCACTTTTATTTTCAGGTGCCAAAACTAAGAAATTGCCTTACTGAGTTTGGGCGAGTAGTAAAAAAAAAAAAAAAAATCTAGACTGACCTAGACAACGTCGTGTTTATTCGAATCACTATCCATCTGTTTATCTTACAGGTATTTTACATGAAGGCTGAATTGAAAGGCTGTCACGACGTGTTGTAGGTCGCATGTAACACCCGTGATTGGTACAACTTTCCATCGCAGTAATAAAAGTTAAATCGAGCTAGGCTCTTGAACTAAGGAATTACAATGGAAAATTGGCTCCTCGTCGCCATATATATCGTAAAATGTAGTTTACAAAATATGTTTCCCAATATATATGCTCTACACGACTGAGCTAACAACAATATTATTTTTTTAAATATCACGAAAGCTGAGGACAAGCCCTGTCATTCTACCTTTTATAGAAACAGTGAGCGGCAGTCACAACGGTTGTTTTCCTAACCATCATTGTTTACAATAAGCTCCGTGATGCAGGCGAAAAATCATGAAAAAAAAAAAGAGGCCGCATCTCCACTTGGTGAATGACGTTGATTGGGGCGAAGCTCTGATGGTGCTGATGATACTGATTTTATTGTTCATAGGTGCTAATTTTTTTTTATTGCTCATAGATAGTGCTGAGTTCCGGGTTGCGTTTCGACTTCATTATTACTGCTTTATGTCGGTGAAATGCAGAGCCAGTGGTTCTTCTAGCGGATCAACTTGGATCCGCTAGAAGGCGTGGGAACGCATCTCCACCGCTTAAGTCAACGGTCCATGTCAGAAAGAGAATGTGTGTTATGGAACGTGGTTATATTCGCATTTGAGCATTTGACCGCAGCGCCCTCTCGTCTATAAACGTTGAGCCAATGCATGTAAAGTTTAACGTGATTATATATGCATTTGACCGCAGCGCCCTCTCCTGTATAGGCGTTGAGCGGCTACATGCAACGTTGGAGTGTAGCCTAGTGGTTAAGACGTCTGCCACGTGCGGGCGTACGTTTCTTTTTTTTTTTTAAGTGGGCCGATCCCGGAGGCAGTGCAATCAATGTGAGCACGGACGCCGGACGGATGGACAAGGCTAGACCTTAAGGAGGATCGCCCCTAAAAAGGAGTGATCGAAATTGTTCACTCTAACTGATACGCACATTCGTATTCAGATCAAATGTGGCCTAAAATAGCGCGTACTCAAGTAAACATCGCCGAAGATTTCGTAACGGAGGCCACGAACATGGAACGTGCCCTCCTCGCAAGAGCCAGCCACTACCATCGACACTCAAGTGTCGCTGCTGCACCTGCATCGGGCTATGGCATCAGCCCTAATATCCCCGGCCTTCGCGACATCATCCGCGACGTCGTCCGGGAGGAGCTTAAGAAGCTTTTGCCGACTGCTGAGCGTCCGGCCTCAATCTCCATCTCCGAGGTCGTCCGAGAAGAGGTTCAGCGAGCCTTCCAGCCACAAGCTCCCATCACCGCGGACGCACCCGAAGAGCCGACGCTGACCTACTCCGCAATGGCCCAACGACCGCCGCCAGCTGCTCAACATTACTCGGTGGCGCTACGGCGAGACTCACCAACGTACTTCCGACGACCCATAGCAGATGGGTCGTCGATCCGACAGCGGATCGACGACCTATCTGCTGTCACTGAGGTGAAGCCGACCACATCTGCCGCCGATGCCCATACCAACGACTCGGGCTGCGCGGTTTCCACCCGAACGACCCACACCCCCGTTATGGTGTACGTCCTCGGGAGATCGTCGAGTACCTGCGACGACGTCAGTCCCCCGTGCCTGTGTCCCGCCGAGAGTTCCGGTCGCCATCGCCACGACGTCCAGCTTCACCGATGTACCGACCCCGTCGTGAAAGCCTGCCACCCCTCGCTCCTCGCCGGGGAAACTAGGCGCGGCAACCCCTGGAGGTGGAGTTGCCGAAGACGACCGACGCCAAGATCCTCAACGGACGTCGGGGGCCCCCACTCGAGCGCTACCAGAGACCCAAACGACCGCTCCTGCCACGGTAAAGAATAACCTAAACGCAGTTATCGACGGCCACGACGCGTCGGCTCTCGTCGACGCCGGAGCAGACTACTCCGTCTTGAGTAGAAGGCTCTCCCAACGACTTCGAAAAGTGACGACGCCGTGGGACGGCCCACAGATACGGACCGCCGGGGGACATCTTATCACGCAAGTGGGAAGATGCACTGCTCGAGTCAAGATTCATGGCGAGACTTGCCCGATGAAGTTCGTCGTTATACGAGACTGTGCGAGAGACGTTATACTCGGAATGGATTCTTGTGCGAATAAGGCGCCGTCATCGACCTGGAAGCCAACGAGTTGAGTCTGCGGAAACCTGTCGTAATAGTCAGGGATCAGATCTTTAAAGAAGACGACGAGAACGCTTGTATCGAACCAACGTAGAAACAAGACGTCTATAGTGCGTACGTCGGAAAAGAGGCATCGGCAAACGAACCATAACGTCCAACGTCTAAAGTCCATCCGCAGGAGGATGGTGCTGCGCCCAAGAAGGTCACTTAGGTCGTACATCAGTAAATGACCGTTAATGGATGACCAAGTCTACAAAATTGTAAAACGCAAAAAAAAATAATTTCGAGCTAAAAAAAGTGCTTATTACTCTTAAAGAAGAAAAAAACAAGACAAAAAAAAACCCGCGATAGTGATTGACCGTGCACCGAAAAGTCCGTGCACCAGGAACGCAGCGAAACGCCCTATACCAAAATATCCAGATCCGGCTCCTGCTGCAAGCGGCGAGCTTCCTGGTGTGGCTCGTAAGGACCAAGACGCACACCTTCGCAGCTCGCTACTCTCCAACCCGCAGTTCTATTGGTTTACAGTGGCCTCGAGGACGCGCAACATGTATCGAAGTCCACGTACTCTGCTGTTCGCATTTCATTCGAGCCAGATACTACTATATACCATGTATTCGGATTGCGAACACACATTTCCTTCGCAAAATAATTTATTTCAGCTATGACTTCGTTCACCGATTTAATGGTAATCCGTATTTCAGGAATGAGGAAAGTTTTGTATTTTTAAAGTAATCTGACTTTGTTTTACCCTGTTTATTCAAAAGAAGTGTATGGGATGTGAGAATAATAGAAGCTCTGTTTTCTTACCGAAGACGGGGCGTTTTGTAGTGTTTAAAAAAAAACGACCGATAATACAAGTATCTTTAGTATGTTTATTTACCAAAAACGTGTGTTCTTGACGAATAACAACAGGCCTGTTTTTAACCGGTAAGCTTGTCTGTATTTTAATTTAATAGAACCATTTCTTTATTTTGACCGAAATTTTCGTGATATTTTATGTTATATTACAAACTTTTTGTACAGTGCGGCGAGGGAGGAACGGTATTTACGCCGGAGTTTTTAATTACAAATGATCCGATTGCTTCCCTCCCAAACCTATGAGAATGGCGCCCGAGAACGTGCGTCTTTCTCCCGCCACGCATCGTCAATTATCCACTCAACATGGTTATCCGGCCCCAAGGTGCAGCAACAAAAGGAGTCCCCCACCATCAAGATAGCAGTGTGAGAGAGGAGAATGTGAAGTTGGCGAGGAGGATTTTCAACCTGGGATTTGTAGACTTTTTCCTTCTCAGCTTCAAGAACAGTTTAAGAAGACTGAAATGAGGGACTCCCCTCATGCTCGGACTAGGGAGCCTTCTGAAGGCACCCTAGCTCGGACCAAATACTTCACTAGTATTTGCTTGGACCCTCGTTTACATAGCCAGACACCGCCATTCTCCCCCTAAAAGATTAGCCCGTGGTTCAGAACTCAAACAAAAGTTGCTTTCCCCGCGCCGTTGACCCTTAAGCTGACGGTACTGTGGAAGTTACGTGCTCGTTGGGCCAGTCACACTTTAGCCACGTGATTACGCTCCCTCGTGCACACCCACGCGCAAAGAATGAGGTCAGGTGATGAAAGGGAGGCGGCTGATTGGTCCGGCATGGGCATAGCTTTCACTGCACTCATCATAGGAAT